AGGGTTCTTTCAAGGTCATTGAAAGCATGCATTGCTTTAGCTGGTGTCACACAAAAAGAGCTTAGAGGGGGTGAACCACCCCTATCACCCTGTTTGCCTTATTACCTCTTATACTGTGCAGGATACAACCTTCTTTCTAAGCAGCAAGTGCATTTTGCCAAATCATGTCCCATTTTACCACCCACCAGTAACCCCATGTACTTCTCTGCAAAGCTCTTCCCAATTCCCTCCTCTCTACTGAACCTGCAGATTGCCCTGACCCAGGTGCAAACCTTTCCCTTGGCCTTGTTGAACTTCAGGATGTTTTCACCGGCCCACTTCTCCAGCCTATCAAGGTCCCTCTTCCCTCTCGTGAATCAACTGAGCTTGGTGTCAGCTGCACATTTGCTGAGGGTGTGCTCAATCCCAGTGTCTATGAAGATACTAAACAGTACTGCTCCCAGGAAGGACCCTTGAGGGACAAGTTGCAGGTTTGCACTTGGACATTCAGCTGTTGTCTAGAACTCCTTCAAGGTGACTATCCAGCCAGTTCCTCATCCATGTAACAGTCTCCAGATGAGTGTCCAGCATGTTCTGGGCAACTGTGTGAGAGACACTCTGCACATATTCTCCCACTGGCCTCTGGTCTGTTTAGAGAACACTAGGCTTCACTGAGTGACCACTCTGCCCTTTAAGGATTGTAGCAGAGATGCTTTTGCACTGTCACACTACAGACAAGTGTGCCTGGGTGAGCACACAGGCCTGTGAAAGCTTCCCCTTCACAGCTGTAAACATCACAGGTTTGTACAGGAACTGCACCTGCAGTGGAACAATTGGAAGTGACCTTCCACATAAGAGAGACAGCCTGACACCAAGAAAGCCAAGAGCTGGGAATACACAGAAAGGAACAGATCAGGTGTAATAACATTTCGTAGGCCTCACTTACTGTGCCGAAGCAGCTCAGAATACATGGTACCCCATCAGGTACATGCAGGTACCTGTGATACATGATAAGAAAAGTAATGGCCATGTCCTTCTACAACCTCACACACAGAGCTCTCCTGTCTTCTCTTTCCTGCTACACAACTGGCAGCTTTGCTTGTGACCCTCTCATTGTTGGCAAAATTTACCATGAGATGATAATGCACTACAAGAACACCAAGAAGGGAGGGACATTTGCCTGCTCACCACCATTCTGAGAAGAAATGGAAGGATTCTAAAGCCTGAAAATTATAAACCATCAAAATAAAAGAGAAGTAATCATCCAGGAAAGAATGACTCATCAAAGGAATGACTAAGAGTGAATCTTCTGCCTTTTTTTACCACACACACTGTTCCACACACTTACAGCTTCTGCTAAGGTCTTGGTCAATTCGTCCTGACAGTAACAGAACTCAAGGACACCTTCACATCTTCGGCCTTTCACACCTGCTGTAGCATGAACAAGATGCACTAACACACCATGCATTGCTGAATAAACCAATGCTGATAAGTACAAGGAAACCTTAAAACTAAGAATCAAAACCCAGAAATGTAAATCAGAGAACCCAGGCAGTAAAGCATCAGAAGACAAGGGGTGACCAGAGAATCTCACTGGGAAATCTTCGGGGTCTTCACTGGAATTCATCTCAGCAAGCACTTGGAAGTCACTGAGATCTCAAATTGCAAGTGCAGCCTTAAAGTCTTACACCGGACAATCAGGTTATGGGATTCATTTTAAGAAAGTGTCCTCAGCTCTCAGCAATTCTACTGGGTGGCCTGCTCACCTCCCACAAATATCAAGCACTTTCACGAGCTCAACCTTCAGAGAAATTACAACAGATTCCCTTTTTGCTTTTTCTTCATATTCCTCACACACAAAATTCTGCCCGAGGTGGCTGAAGGAAGCATTTGCTGCCAAACCACAGGCACAGTTTCAAAGGCAGAAGCACTGGCCAGAAATGCATGAAAAGACCATGACCTTACAGGAAACCAAGTCGTGAAAGAAAGTCTGATTGCAACTGTGAAGAAACTCTACATCACTCTGTTCTGCAGAGATACAAATGGATAATCAAAGTTTCACACAGGAAAGGTAATTCATTCTACACATCTATCATTATTCTACATGCAGAGTTTTTCAGGAAATGCTTGATTGCTGGAGGACTCTCACTGTCTTTCAGGACAGGGATACCAAGACCAAAGGAAACACGGCACAGACCTTGGCACCAGGCATGAAAACAAACCATTGACCAGTCAAACCCACATGGACCCATCCATTTTCCTCATTCAAATCCAGCCTCTCCATTTCCTGGTTCTGCATTCTCAGCCTTTGGTTGCACCATGGGCAATACCCAACTTCTGACTACATGGCAGCCCCAGCAAAAAGAGCATTTCATTCAGTCCCATTTTAGGGAAATATAAACTTATCAAAGTGTTTGTCTTAGCTGATGTCCACCTTCAGGGTATGGAGTAGAACTTCTCCCACCCTGACAACTATAAGATGTCTTTTGGTGTTTCACACTGAATCACAGAATCAAGAGTTGGAAGAAACCCTCAAGATCATCTGGTCCAACCCTCAGCCCAGCACTACCATAATCACCCCTAAACCATAT